ATAACGGAAGCCAAAAATCAAGCTCTAAAAAATACAATCTCGCACCTTTCAATCTCGTTTTTCGTACGATGCCTCACGAAAACAGGTTTTCCTCGAAAGTTGTATCTCTTTGTTTCTCCTTCGGGAATCTCTTTCGTATCTACTTCAGTAATTCCAAAAGCTCGTTCATCAGCAGGTATGGTCTAAAATTCAAGAGAAATTGGTGCTGAAAATGCTTATTGATTAAGTTGTCCTTATCCTCTGTAACAACGTCTAAAGGTTCGCTAATATTTTAACGTCGTAAGTGTAAAAGTAGGGGTTATCTGCAAGCTGCACATAAAGGGGTATGTTAAAGTAATTCAACTATACATATACAACTTCAAATGAGATATTTTGATGATATTCCCAGCAAAGCTCTAATTATTTGACGACAGCTATATTTCTTATTAGAGCGCAGCCTGATAAAAAAACAAAATATTATAAATATTGATTTCGATTTCTCATTATTGGTTTAGTTTTTATACGGTGCTCCATTTTCAAAAGTATGATTCCATCTAAAGGCAAACACCTATTTTGTACTTCTCAGCAATATTGTCCACCGCGCAAAATTTAAGAAAACGAAACAATTAAATCATCGAACTTCTCAAAGTTGAAGATAGGAGGTTGAGAAAAAGAATCAGATGAAACATGAATTTCTTGAAAGTTTGCCTTTAGTGCGCTTATAAGTGTCGGACTTCAAGATTGACAGCGAGTTACTTAGAGTCAGACAGGAAGTCAAAAGTGATGATTTTCGTCAATATCTTCAAACATCTGTGAAAACAAAAACACACTTCATTTTGGTTTGCGAGTTCTTGCCTTTTACGGTTTTACTACGTAACCAAATTTCAGTACTCGGACCTTCGTTAGCTTGTAATGCATTAAGTTGTAAGCCCCACTTTTGAAATTGCATATGTTGATGAAAAATCACTTGCCTATGGAAGATTTAGTCAGAACAAAAATTTCAAAAGCTCTCCGCAAAAGATGATGTGAGTGCAGGAAAATTACTTTTCCCAAATGACCTAATTTTCGAGGGGTCAAACATAAATACTAGGTCGCTATAAAGTCCAGTGATTCTTTTCCTGTAACTGTACAAATTTCGACCAAGTGATGCATGTGTTCTAAAATTCCCTTTTCTATTCCGCACAACCTCACCCATCGTTTTATCAAGTAAACTTTAGTTCGACTTCAAAACTAAGTATTGACAGCTTCTCTTCTTTATAAATTACTGCGATTTCATTGAAGTTATTTGGAAAGCAATTTTAATCGAAACAGTAAGTTAAAAATTCAGTACTTGTCACTGCTTAAGATCCTTTCCATTTACCCACATATTTTTTTCTATACTATTGCCCCAATGTTTGATTTGGTTAATCACAAGGAACTCGTCGAGCCAATGTTAAGAAATACTTCGTTATCAAAAGTAATAACTTGCATATGGTCAGAGAGTTAGCGGAAAAAGATATCGCTCGAAGCAACTTCTGAAAAAGCAAAAGTGAAATCACTACAGAGGTCTTCGTCAATAAAAAGATGGCTTGCTGTGAGAGAAATGCTCGAGGCCGAAACCAAGATAAGTGGGCCAATCCTTAAAAGTACGCAGAAAACGGCCTTAACTGTCTCTCCATCACTAGTCACCATGATTTAAATGAATTTTTGGAAGTTTACCTTGAAGTAAACCATAGCTTGGACCATTTCTTTTCCAGCCCATAAGGACATTGCACCGCCAGCTGACAGTAATCATTATTTGTGTGAAAAGGTCATGTGCAAATTATGTACAAGGGTAAACGATAAAATTACCCCCGTAAAAGATGGAATGAGTGAAAGCTCGACGATTGTCTTCACTATCACGAGCGGCCTTGTTTATATCCAAAGTTGATTCACGCCGATGTCGCGACATGTCCGGGAACCTCATGTCTGAGTGAAGGTTACACCGAAGTTGGGCTGAAATA